TGGCGAGCAACTCGCTCATGCACTCCACCGTCACCCGCGAGAAGAGCGTCAAGGGCGCCGACGATCTCCGTAGGAGGGGCAGCGTCGACGAGCGCACCACGACCCTCACCGGTGGCCGTCTCTACATTGCCAACCCCGACTAAGGTGGCGTGGTATACCTGCACGAAGAGAACGAGGAGGAAAGACGACGAGAAATAGGCCCAGGCCGGTCTCGACAATCGCATTGGCTCAGCTCGAACTTGATATCCATTTTTCCTTGTTGCGTTTCATTGCTGTCGTCATCATCGGTACGGCACGCCTTTCTTTTCGAGGCATACACGGTCGTTAGGGGGAAGGCGTTTGGGTTTCCCTCCATTGTTCTCCCACAAACTTGCATCACTACGGCGTTTTTTTTTCCTTGTTTCTTTTATGTTACTGGGCGGCGGGATGATACCACAACAGAAGGCTTGCCCGAAGATCACATCACACATCCACACATGAAGTGTGTTCTTCTCCGGAAGTTGCCAAGGGGGAGGAAGGTGTTTTGGGTGTTTCTCTCTTTCTTCCTTGTTTTCTGCCTCGCACAAAGATTTTCCCCTCTACCTGTTCGCTCTACGATCGCTACCTTTCGGGGGTCATCTTTTCCCCCTTTCCCTGTCTCTTTCTGTATCGTTTTCGCCTATAGTGTTTTTTTTTTTCCCTTCCGCGTTTCTATGCGGGTTTGTGATACTTCACACACCACCGGGACCGTTTTTATCAGGCCCGTGTTTTTTAATTTGCGGGCAAGACAAAATACTTGAAAAAGGAGGTGGACGCGAGAGTGTGGCATGACCGAAGACAGCATTCCGCTGGCTGGGGGGAAGACCGGAAAAAAGATAACCGATTCGGGAAAGGGGAGGATGATACCACCTGCGAAGAGAGAAAGAGAGAGAGAGAGAGAAAGACAGTGCTAGGAATTGAGACAGGAGGAGCTCGAAATGCTCGAATATGAAAAGCCCATTCCTAGGCATCGTGCGGTTCCAAAAAGTTTCTGATCCCCAACATTGACTCTCGCCGAGAACGTGATCGTTGGAGCATACTTTGCACGGCTGTAGTTGCCCGAGGCCTCTCTAGGCCATGCTTAATTTGACCAGAGAGGTATGCTGCCCTGTCTCACACTGGGTGAGAGGTGAGACTACCTTTTTGCTTCACCCCCTCCCCCCCTTTCAGCCGCACGTCGTTTCCGATGGCCGTGGGGGAGGATTTGGAGTAGGATTGGGGGGGGGATCTCCCATTGCCGTGAATGTCTCACATGCTCGTCGGCATGGGAAACTTGGCAAAACGAGAAACAAAATAAAGAGAGACAGAAGCTCGATTCCCGCCGGACTTGGTGGGATTGCGGGGAGGCATGTGGTGAGGACCGCTTGCGGCGCCTACTTTGGCGCGCGATGCTCACACGAGCGTTGTTTGTGTAGCAAAACTAACCCAGTCACAGGGGTAGCGGGTAGCGGATGGAAATTCGCTTGGCTGGTATCCGTACGTACTGCTACTATCTTTGGAAACACGGGATTCGATCGTTCCAGGAGGGTTTAATCTCGCTCCCTCCTCCTCCCCCTCCCCGGGTCAGGGACTTTTCAAGGTGTCAGTCAGTCAGTCAAGACAGCCATTAGTCATGATTCGGTAGGTATCGAATTGTTCCAAACGCTCGCCGTGTGGGTTGCGGTTGTATCTGTCGTTGATTGACACATGCCACGACGACCATGTGTCTGTCCTTGCCGGGATTGGCTCGACCCCGAGAACGAGAGAGAGTGCCCTTGCCCATATGTCTCTCGTAAGGGTAGTGTACGTTTGAAGTCGGGTTGACACGGTTCCGTAAAACTATCTTTCGCTAAAGACATGTTCTTGTTCCGTCTTCGGCACCGACGCCCAGGGGTGGAGGGGGGGTGTCTCCGTCATCAAGCATCACCCAGACTCGAATTGACTTTTGTCTCCAAGGTCTGACACGGAAAAGACGCACGAACTGAGACGGAAGCGCGGGTTGGGACCGGAGATTGGCGCGATTCCGATGTCTCTTTCTCTCTCTCTTCGAACCGGGTCAATGTGTCATGTCTGCTATTCCGAGAGGACGAGGCGATGCGAGATGAACAACCGGTTCGGGAAAGTGAGCGACTCTGCAAGCCCCCCCCCCTGGGGGTGGATTGTCCCTGGCATTAAATTCCGTCGCTTCTGCACCTCTTGCTTGCCTCTCGCCTGTCTTCTTTGCCGTGCCAACTGCTGCACGTCGTTGGGTCGGGAGGGGGGTGAGACGAACATCACTGCCCCAAGGAGACAGACGACAACCAGGGCGGCTTGTCAGTTTGCAAGGATTCGCGTCGTCCCCTCTTTCAACTCTTCTCTCTCTCTCTCTCTCTTGGCCGATAACGCCATTGAAAAGGCAGACCGGAATTCGGGCGATTGGAGGGATAGAGTCTTTTCCTGGCCTGGTGTCGTCGATCACTTCGTGTTCATGCAAAAAGAAGAAGGGATCCTCTCCAAGACCCCTAGAATTTTCAGCCTTGGTACGGAGTACACTACCTATGTAGTAGTGTAGATGATGTTCTTTCTCTCTGTCGCCCGCCCCGAGAGCGAGAGAGAGTGATAGGAGGGGGTAGGAGCCGCTTACCTTGATGGCATCATGACGCAACGTTGGGCCAACGAACCAGTTGAACCCTCGACCTTGCGGAGGGGCGCGCCTCACTGCTCCATTCATTGTTTGTCATGGAAATGGCGAGATGAGCCAGGTGAGGCTGGTGAAGCATGTAAAGTCACGTGGGGCGTGCACTTAGAGACAGTTCATGGACCCTACGTTTCATTTCTCAGCCACGACAACACCAGCCACACTCCTTACCCCACACGCTCCAGCCACGGCCGGAGACACAGTTGATACCTCCAGCCAGCTTAGCTAATATTGAATTTAGATAGGCAACTTAGCTGATTCACGCCACGCCACTTAATCTTATCAGCAACGCTCAACGCCTCCTCCTGCTGGTCGGAGTCGCGTCGTCCCGGCCTTATAGGCTTTGTTAGATACAGACATGTCGACTTTGAACAACACGCTTTATGTACCCGAAAACACATGAACTGAAGGAGCAGGTTCTTTCTTCTCTCTTCAGTTTCTTGATATATCCAATGCGTTGTTTTATATCTCGACGAGAAACCAAGTATTTGGACAGCCGTGTTATAAAAGCTGGCGGATCTTGAAGAGGAAGCCGCCCAAGCAAAGTACCTCAGGACCCACGCAGTTGACCAATTTAGCGAGTTTACCCCCTAATCTCCATCCGCACCTCCCCCAGGAGCCCCAGCCAACACGACCCCGACGCCAAATTTACGCGTGTCGCGTCCTTTTCCAACCTTTCAACCTCGACTTTCCACTTTTACCCATCCAACACCACACACCACACCCGGCCAATTCACCTCCGAGAGCCCCAACGGCTTGCTGAATTTATCTCGAGACCAGAGGAGCCCCTTGTCCCGAAGCCGACGGGCCCGTTGCTGTCTTTGTTTTGTCCTGTACCTTCCTTTGAGACTGCCTGATCCAGCTTCAACGCCTCTTCACTCAACACCCAACGTCTACCTCGATATCAACCAGACCCCAAACCACCCGGCGGTCACCTTCGTACACGGTCGCAAGGAGTGCGACAACCCGGCGTCCGATGCCTCTATTCGAGATGTCCACCAACGTACAGCGAGAGTCCGATATGGAGCCCAACGGTCTGAAGAGAAGCCACGGCGACTTCTCGAGCGACCAAGTCACGATGGACCACCGCGGCCTTGCCGCTGGCGTCAAGCAGCAGGCCATAGAAGCTGTCGTCCAGCCAGCCAGAGGTACAGCCTGCCTATCATGCCCATCATGTGGCTACCCATTCCTGGCCACAGCGTCACTGACACTCTCCTCAGCTGTCTCCCCCGCCCCTCAGATGCGCGACCGCATGTCGCCGCTGAGCAGCCCAGGCTCTCTGTCCGACCTGGGCACCGTCACGCCACCTCGCAACTCGCCATCCCCCAATCCCACACCCACCAAAATCCCATTCTCACTGAAGCCGATACCCGACGCCAAACTCTCCTCATCAGATTCTTCCGCCTCGAATCCCACGCCTTCCGCTACCCAGTCCGCCAAACGGAAGCGCCGCACCGCTGCCGAGAAGGAGGCCGAAGAAAAGGAAAAGGCTCAGAAGAAGAAGGAGCGCGAGGAGAAGAAGGAGGCCAGACAAGCCGAAAAGGCCAAGGCGGATGCCGAGAAGCAGGCCAAGCTGGATGAAAAGCGCCGCAAGAAGGAGGAGGAAGAACGCAAGATCCAGGAGGACAAGGAGAAGAAGGAGCGTGCTCAGCCGAAGCTCTTATCCTTTTTCAAGCCACCTGCCACGCCCAAGAAGGAACCGGCAGCAGCCAAAGTCAAATCGGAGAGCCCTGGCAAAGCCGCTGCCACGTCAGACTCGGCAGCACCGGTGGTCAAGAAGGAGGAAAAGTCCCAGTACGAGAAGTTGTTCAAGCCCTTCTATGTTCACAGCACGGTCCGCCTGGCCAAAAATCCCTTCGAGATGGACCACGAGGCGCACGAGGCCAAGACCAAAATCTTGGAAGAGTACTTCAACGGCAAGCGGGAGCCGGCCCAAGTGGGCAAGTTCGACCCCGTTGACGTCTTCCAGCTTCCCTGCCGCCCCGCAGCGCGTGGCAGAATTTACCCACCCGTTCGTTATACCATGGAGAAGATGATGAAGCTTACACAGCACGCCCAGGGCGCCAGCGAGGAGGACAAGAAGGCGGCTATGAAGGAGGCCACGGATGCGCTGAGACGCATTCCCATCAAGCACCTCAAATTCTACCAGGACGTGCGTCCTGCCTACAGGGGCACCGTTACTCTAAGACCTTACCAAGCAGGCAAATCCGGCATGCGACGGCTCGCCCGGAAGCCGACACTCCGCGACCAGCTGCCCCTCAACTACGAACACGACTCGGAAGCCGAATGGGAGAGCGAAGGCGAGGACGTCGACATCGATGACGAAGACGACGAGGACCTCGACGACGGCGACGGCGACATGGACGGATTCCTCGACGACTCGGACGACAACGGCCCCGCCCGGTTCGTGAGCGCCAACGGCCTCGAACCCGAAAGCACAGGGCTATGCTGGGAGGACCGGAAACGCATGGGCCCCAATCGCACCGTGTACGAACACAGGATGGAGTTCATTCTGGGTAAGCCCAATCCAATTTCCCGCTCTTACAGCCGCGTTAACTCATGCTTGAAAGAAACCCTCGACCACCATTCCGGAATTGACCCCTTCTCCGCCAAGTACTGGGAGCCCGAGCTCAAGCCCAAGTCCAAGCCCAAATCGGCCGGCCAGCCGCCCAAGGACAAAGCCGCGGCAGAGTTGCTGAAGCCGTCTGACGCTTTCAAAGCCATCGGCAGCTCCAAGGTCGGCGGCAGCGGTGTGCAGTCACTGCCGAAGAAGATGCTGGAGAACAACAACCTCGAGGAGCTCAAGAAGGTCATTGAGGCGAATCCAAAGATCGCCAAGGGTGGACTGATTGATCTCTCATACGTCGCGCTCGCCCACGCCAAGATCTCGCGCAACGACATCAAGGAGGCCATCGCAGCGGTCGCGGAGAAGGTCGGCGGTAAAGGGCATGCCGGCTCCTGGACGATCAAGCCCGGCTTCGATGCCTTGTAGGGTGGTTGTACACAGCGCGGACGGTCTGGCGTATAAACGGCGTACTGTTTTGACTTTGATGAAAGATACCTCGGCGGATGTGCCTCCACCCGCCGGCTCATTGTTGTTTGCCTTTGTTGCGGTTCTTTGGAAGTGCGTGGAGTATATTTCGGAACTTTGTTAATGCAACGGACCGGGGAGGGATGACCCAGTTAAATGGATGGAGAGAGTGTGAGCAAACTGGCCTCGACTCCCTGACATTATTTCTTTACAAGCTGGTGAGGATGGTTCTTGAGGGTTTGTTGCGTTGCAAGTCTCTCCTCCCCTTGCACTTACCGGTTATGATATGAAGGCATGAGGGCGGCGTATGATGGATTTTTACTTTTATTTCTCGGTCGATACATTTGCACGAGTGCATACTTAGTTACTCTCTTGTCCGGGGTAGCAGCGGCGTTTGACAGGCACTGTAGATGAGCAGCGGGGAAAAGAGATTATTGACGTTATTTGCGCCGCGTCCACGATGATTGAAGTGACTTGGCTTGTATGACGGGCCGGCCCGATTGCCTGTTACAAGGACGTACGGCCACCACGACGTGAATGTACGACGGGCCTCAGGGGAGGATGAAGACAGGAGCACCGCTCGACCCGGGTTTCGAATCCGTCACATTGCATCTCGACATCCTTTGCCGCAGTTTTCACGCAACGAAAGGAGTGGAGAGTGGTTGTAGGTATAGGGGGAGAAGCGATTCAGACGCCGGCCCGGAGACGCGGGGGTGGTATCTCCGGGCCCCGGAGAAAGGGCAAGAGAAGGGATCCGTGTGGGGCGGAGGATGTGGGCAGGTTTAGAGGGGGTAGGATTTCCGAATGCCGGTACGACAAGTGCGAAACGCACTCGGAGTTTAGGGAGATAGAAACAATAAGCGGAAGGTTGTGGAAGACAGCATTCTCCGGAGTTTACGGACGAACGACGACGACGAAGACCAGCCAGACTATGACGGATGTAAGCAACATGCGGCAGGCAACCGATGGCTGCTGGCTTTTAGGCTGTAATAACACCTAGCTAGTTCCAAGCTGACGGACTGCTTGTGTCTCCGAAGTCCCGTGTGTGTTGATCGCTAAAGCCGTCTCATGCGAGGCTCGACGCGGACGATCTCTGCTGTGCATCTTTGAGAGGGAATGGCGGACATGACTGGAAAGAGGAGAGGGGCATCCGCCCTCCCCTCTTTTGGGTAAGCCGTATGAGCATCCAATGATGGATCGAACCCGTGGGCTTCTGACCGCGGTAGCACTTACATTAGACGCGGGCGGGATTGAGTTTGTCGCGTCCCATCGTTCCGAGGCGAGTGATGGGCCGGGACGAAGGAAGCGTCAGCTAGACACCGCCAAGAGGTGGGTTTCCCATCAAGGTGGACGTCGGTCTCTTTTCATTGATGTAATGGTGTATGGTGTGTGTGTGTGTGTGTGTGTATGAGGACGAAATGAAACGAACGAGTCTGGCATCGAAGAACATGGGAGAAGGGGGCATAGGATGGCGCAAGGCTATGATGGACATTTAAAAGGGGTGTGACGGCCGCCCTCTGACGATCAACTCTGAGAGCAAGCAAACAACTCTTCTTTCTATCGTAGTTCCAAGATACGCATTCACACACACACTCACACACACATCTCCCAGCCATCATGACGGTCAAACCAGCGGGCGGCGACCGCGTCCGCGTCCCGGTCCGCGACCTGCCCTCCTGGACCCCCTCGGTCCCGCCCTTCGAGGGCGAGGACACGCTCGACGCCGCCGCCGTCGCCGCCGACTTCCTCGCGCGCCTCGCCGCCGCCGTCCGCGACGGCGACTGGGACGCCTTCGGGGTGCTCTTCGCCGACCGCTGCTTCTGGCGCGACAACCTCACGCTCACCTTTGACAAGCGCACGCTGCACAGGCGCGCGGACCGTCGTCGACGCCTGACCGCGCGCTAGCCCCCCCCCCGCCGTCTATAGCCGTATATAATCGACGATACATTTGAGTAGCCATCATCTTCGAAGGGTCGAGCACTATGAGTGGTTGGACCGAGGGAACCGGTTGAGGACTGACATAGCATTGTCAGCATGGCGCTGAGGCCACGACGGGGGCCCGCTTGTGAAAGAGGGCTTCACGCTAACGCGAAATTGGCGTCATAGCCCAGGCATACTCTCATCATAGCGAATCTTTAACATTCTGCAGTATTTATGACAGCAGGACGAGTCCGGAAACGTCCGACCTGGTATTGGTAAAGTCTCTTCTAAGCCAGTCCCTACTTACTACTGAACCTAGTCGCGAGATTCATCCGCCTACATTATACGCTCGGTAGCCCAGCTAGCCAACCAACATCCCGCTATGCCTGGTATTACACCCGTCGAGCCTTAAGATACATTGGACCATGGATATATTGACGTCGCCGCTGAGCTGGATCGCGCCCGACACGGATCGATTTCAGGTACTTGGAATGGCGTGTCAAACGAACAGCGAAGCAGAGGACAGGCCGTTCGGCCCGCTGCCGCGCACCTCGTCGCCGTCGTCCATCATCGGCGCGGATCAGCGCGGGCGGCCCGAGGCGCAGGGCCTGCCGCGGGTCGAGGACGGCAAGGTGCTGGACGCGGTGGTCGTGGGGGGCAGCTGCAACGGCATCGCGAACGCGATCCGGCTCGACGCGGCGGGGGCCGAGATTGCCGTGTTCGACATGGAGGCGCGCGCGGGCGGGAACTGGTCGACCAAGAGGTACGAGGGCGTCATGCTGCACCACCCGGCCTTCATGGTCCAGCTGCCGCTGTTCCCCGTGCCCGAGGGCGAGGGGTACCCGAACTACCTGACGGGGCAGGACCTGACGCGGTACTACTCGTCGGCGGTGGAGCGGCTGCGTCTGCCGTTCTTCGGCGGGGTCGAGGTCGTCGGCAACGCGTGGGACGAAGGGGCGGGGCTGTGGACGGTGACGGTCAAGGACGTCGCGACGGGGGCCGCGGCGCGGCTGCGGGCGAGGAACGTGGTGGTCTCGACGGGGCTCACGGTGACGGACCAGAACCCCCGGGTCACGGCGCTAGCGGGACGGGAGACGTTCGCGGGGCCGGTGCAGCACACGGCGGCGTATCGCAACCCGGAGGCGTACCGGGGCCGGCGGGTGGTGGTGGTGGGGTCGGGGAACTCGGCGCACGACGTGGCGGCGACGCTGGCGCGGGACGGCGGGGTGGCGAGCGTGACGCTGCTGCAGCGCAGCCCGACGGTGCTGCTCGACTTCGACGCCGTGGGGCCGGCCTTTGCGCGGCGGTACGGCGGCCAGACGCCAGTCGACACGGCGGACTTCCTGGAGGGGGCGCTGCCGCTCGGGGTGGTGCGGGACGTGACGCGGGCGGGGTTCCGGGCGCTCATCGCGGCGTCGGAGGAGCGGAACCGCGCGCTCGAGGGGGTCGGGTACATGCTCGACCGGGAGCCGTGCCTGATGACGCGGGTGTTCGAGGAGAAGGGGCGGGCGTTCTACGCCGACCAGCCCGGGACGTTCAAGCTCGTGCTCGACGGGCGGATCAAGGTGGCGCGCGGGGAGGCGAGGGGGTTCGTGGAGCGGGGGCTCGTCGTCGTCGACCGGCAGACGGGGCGGGAGAGGGTCGTCGAGGCGGACGGGGTGGTGCTGGCGACGGGGTTCGAGGTCATGGACATGCCGCGGCGGTACAAGAACAAGGGCTTCGTGGACGCGGACACGGCCGACAGGCTGGTCAACGTCAACGAGAACGGGGTGGACGCCGAGGGCGAGCAGCCAGGGCTGACGACGTTTTCTGGACGTAGGTCTTTTTCTTCTTCCTTTGTCTATCGTGCAGCGCATGGATGACATTCTGACTGACGGCCGTGACAGACCCGAATTTCTACTTCTCTGGCGCGGGACTGATAACATGCCGCGCGAGTGTAAGTTGATCCCCCCTCCCCCCTTCCCCGCCGGAGGAGACTATGTTTCTCGACTGACTTGCCCTGGCTAACTCGTGATCGACAGGCGAGGCTCACCGCCATTCAGGTGTTGGCTGATATCGAAGGACAGTTTCCCGAGAGGTACGCCCGGTCTTGATGAGGTATGAAGGCAGCCGGTGTGAGCGCTGCCGGGTAGTCGCTTCAATGTCTGATAAAGGATGAGAGGTCAGGTAGATGGTCTTTTTATTTGTAGAATATCGTAATTGCATGAAGCTCGTCAGGTGTCCCTGCGATTCCTTGTGGAAGACCGGCTCCGCCCATTGTTGCGGGTAAAGTAGTACTGTGAGTCGCTCCCAAAACGTGGGATGGAATATGGCTATTGCCGAGGCCTTCCGACGTCGGGTTAGTAAATTGGTTAAGCCGACTGACGTATATAGACTTCCCGTTGCGTCAAGAGTCCGGATGGAACCATTTCATCCCTTTACAACACACCATAGTTCTATTCCGAAAGAGAAAAAAGAACGCACACTCGTGTATCGTCATCGGATTTGCCCAGAAAAAAACCATGGCCTCAACACTCCCGCCCAGGGTCGAGCGCACGACCATCGCGGGGTCGATCGAGATACCCCGCATGCTCCACGGCCTCTGGCAGCTCGCCGGCGGACACGATCGGGACGTCGACGTCGCAGCCGCCGCGGAGGCGATGGGCCCGCTGTGAGACATTCCGCCGCGTCCCCCTCCTTAGATAGACATGTGCATTTTTATTTTCATGTGTTTTGCTGACTGGGTCACGCAGAATCGACGTCGGCCTCGACGGCTTCGACATGGCGGACCACTACGGCCCCGCAGAGCTCGTCGTCGGGCGGCACAACCTCACGTCCTCGCGGCGGCCCATCACGGCCTTCACCAAGTGGTGCCCGCCCGAGAGCGGCGACAGGTCCTTCGCAACGGCGGAGGCGGCCGTGGACCTCGCCCTGCGGAGGATGGCGCAGGAACGGGTCGCCCTCATGCAGTACCACATCTGGGACTACAGTGACGACACGTACCTCTGCAACCTTGCGCACCTGGGCGCCCTCCAGCGGCAGGGCAAAATCTCGCACGTGGGCGTGACCAACGTGGACGCGGCGCACCTGGAGCTGCTGCTGGACTCGGGCTACGCCATCGCGACGAACCAGGTGTCGTGCTCCGTGGTCGACCGCCGGCTGGTCAGGGGCCGCATGGCGGGGGTGTGCGCCCGGCGCGGCGTCGGCGTGTTGGCGTACGGGACGCTGCTGGGCGGCTTCCTCAGCGAGAAATGGATCGGCGCGCCGGAGCCGACGAGCGCCGAGGGGTTGAACTGGAGCCTGAGGAAATATCTGCGCTTCATCCGCGCCGCCGGCGGGTGGGCGGCCTTCCAGGGCGTGCTGAAGGCGGTAGCGGCCGTCGCGGAGAAACACGGGGTGCCGGTCGCGGCGGTGGCGACAAGGTGGGTGCTGGACATCCCCGTCGTCAAGGCCGTCATCGTCGGGGCGAGGCTTTCGGGGGAGAGCGGCAAGTACACGGCGGGCAACCTGGCGGCGTTTGGGCTCTCGCTGGACGACGAGGACAGGACGGCGATCGCCAAGGCGCAGGAGGCGCTGGCGGACATACCGGGGGACTGCGGCGACGAGTACCGGAGGGCGCCGTTCCTGACGGCGGCGGGAGACCTGAGCGACCACGTCAAGGGAGGGGACGGTGAGCGACGACGGCGCGAGGTCGAGGAGGCGGTCACGGGCGGGGGGAGGGTGGAGTACCGCACGGGCAGCAAGTGGGAGCCGGTGGCCGGGTACTCACGCGCCGTACGGGTGGGGTCGGTCATCCGAGTGTCGGGGACGACGGCGAACCCGCCGACAGAGCTGGGCTCGCAGCTCGCGGCGGTGGGCGGGGAATCTGCGCGGTCGCAGACGGTGGCGGTGCTCGACACGATCGAGCGGGCGGTCAGGCGGCTGGGCGGGAGCATGTCGGACGTGGTCCGGACGAGGGTGATGATCCGGCGGGAGGAAGACGTGGAGGAGGTGTCAGAGGCGCATGGCTGGGTGTTCCAGTGTCACGGGGTGCGACCAGCCAACACGCTGACGACGGCCGGGCTCATTGGAGACGAGATGCTGGTCGAGATCGAGGCAGAGGCGGTGGTCGGGAGCAGCGAGTCGGTGTTGGTGGTTGAGTGAGTTGAAGGACGAGAACATACAGCTAGCTCTATTCCAACACAACAAACATCAATAATGAATGTACTCCGTCATCATGTTTGGAGTAATTAATCGACTGAGGAATATCCGTGTATAATAATATTAATATCTAGGTAGGCAGTCAGTCCAAAGTAGGTAGGTGTAAGTATGTACGTAGATAGAAAAAAAGAAAAAAATGAAAGGGACGAGACTCGAACTCGCGCGGGTTGCCCCACCAGGAAACAGATGTTAAGCTGACCTTAACCTGGCGCCATAACCAACTCGGCCACCCTTCCGTAGGATGATCAGATGATCTTGAGTGTGCTTGATTTGGCGAATTTGCAGAATAGGAATGGAGTCGATTTTGGTTTCAGCCAAAACACAGGAAAATGGTGAGTATTGGTGGGGAGATGAGGGGCAGGATGCATGAACCCCGAAAAGTATGCGTGACTAGCAAGTGGGCCCGGCCCGAAGCGAGTGACTAATGATCAAAAGCCCTCGCTCAGCCCAAGTGGGGCGAAGAGGATGCGGATCGGAACCCGCATATCCGATGATGACATAAGCGTCCTGCGTAAGGTACCTAGGCAGCTAGGTATCCGTACTCTGCAATTCGGCCTCGTGGTGTAAAAGTCATCCCAGGCCTTTAGAGGGCCTCATCACGCGTGAGTGTTCTATATGCTTGCTTGGGCCTGCAACTGTAACTCTTAGCTCTATAGCGTGCTCTCAGTAGGGCGTTAGCCAAGGTTGATCCTAGGGCCATAGGCCCGCTATGATCCCTATGTCGCTTTGGGCTTTACGACAAGCAAAAGGCTATCTAATTAACTGTTTAGATTGCTTTGTGGCACTTTTGCTTCCTTATATTTCAAAAAGTTCTTACTCGCTGTTGTACATGTTTCCAAGCGTACGTACAAACTGAAAGAAACAAGAGCTTACGGCTCTTATCACGTGTCACGTGCTGAATCACGTGTACACAATATTCTAGAACAGTATCCGTAATTTCTACAGGTCTCGCTGACCGGATACCATACCTCAAATACAAGCACAATTTATACATCACGTCTCCATGCCTAGCTGTGCGCTCCAACTCGTTATACGTTTTAACGTTCCCATCCTGTTACTGCAGGCCCCTTTTTACTAGGTTGGGCTGGACTGCCTCGCTGCCGTTCCCTCTCGACCACGCACCTCGGCCCAGGAGCATCCTTGTCTGTCGTCATCTCTATCATTTCTTTTGTGGGCTCGGTGGGCCAGACCAGAACTGATCGAGATGGAGATAACGATAAGACATCGACGACGCGGTGAAGACTATGCGATGCCGAGCAGGGCGAGAGTCTACTACTATGCGCGACAGGAGCATCGTGCCAGAGGAATAATGCCCGAATTCATGCAACAGCGCAGAGGCCGCCGCAGGATGAGGGGGTGCAGCCTTACCCAACTCTTCTTCGTCGTACGTCGTACAATGTACATTGATTATGCAGCACATTGTCTGCCATGAGATAACATAACGTCTGAAGTGGCGACGAGTACGGATACAAGCAAAGGAACCAAGCAATGCCGACCCTTGCGGCTGCAAATGTTCGTTCGGAGCAGCCGCGTGGCCCACGTCCCACTGGTTCCTCCAACGTCTCGGGATGTCCGGGAATTCCAGGGCACCCCCAGCCGAAGCATATTTGGTTCTATTTTTTTTCTTTCTGTTTTTCTTTTTTTTCCTTTCCCTCCCTCGAACCTCGGCCTAAACCGTCTTTGGTTGGTAGACCGAGGCATGGAGACCAAAGGCCAAGCAGACCAGGCTCGGTGTAAACAAGCGGCACCGCACCGCATGCAGTTCAGTGACGGTGACTACTCACGATTAGTACGCGTGGATGACGTTTTTCCCGCTTGGGCAAATGGTGGCCACAAGATCATCTCCGATGAGGGGAGCCCTGATTGGCCCTTGATGGTCCAAAGTCGTCAGTTTTTTTTTTAACTTTTTGTCCACTTTTCCTGTCGTTCTTATGCTTTCCCTCCAGGACAGAGGGTGTTCGTGCCGTCCTGAGAGGTCTGTTCACCGTCTACGTCCAAGGTTGGCTGACAACCTGGCACAGAGAGAGAGAGACCCTCCAGCTTGTGCAAGGAACATAACCATTACGGCATTGGAATGAGGCTGCCTGCAGGGAAACACTGGCTTCGGTTTAATTTCATCGGGTTTCGAAATCCCATTGGGCCCTGTCCAGTCTCGATCGACTCTGCATATACTCAGCCAGCACGCATACACTCAACTCAGCACACGCAGACGTAAACACACATCCACACGTCGTCATCATCGCCCCGTCCGTTGGTTCCAAACTCTGGCCGGTCTTATTCGTCCCACTTAGTCCGCCCAGCGCCGTCCTCTTTGCCCCTTGGTGGCCTCCCTTGCAACGACTCTTACCTCTGGATATAGACGTCTCATCTCTTCCGTCTGAATTGCACACTTGACTGGCTGCTGCCCTACCGCCCGAGCCCGGCTACCTTACGTCTGTCTGCCTTTTGCTGCATTGTTCGCGCATAAAACAAGAAGAAGAAAAGAAGACAGGACAGACCAACCTGCATCGACGGAAACATTGGCCTAAAACACCATCGCGACAAACCAACATCCGACCCCCAAACGCTGCTGCTGCCAGAACAGAACTCATAGAAGAAAGAGGAAACCAGCCCGGATTGGAACTTTCTTCGCCCCCCCTTCCTGCAACCCTTGAACCACCGGAAGCCCTGTCGGCGCATTCCATTCCATTCACGTGGTGGGCTCGGCTCGATCCCTCCTTCTTCCTTCCTTCCCCACGTCTACGGCGTCAACTTGCGCTCCGATTTCCATCTTCCTTTTAGCAATCGAACCCCCCCCCCCTCTGCAGATTCCAACCCATCGACACCACCCAGAGTGCAAAGTATACCCTTCTGCGCCGCAAATCGCACCTCGAATCGCTCCATCGCACGCCGAACCAGACTGCGAACAGTTACAGACATGCCCGCCGCGAAAGCGCCGCCGACGGCCGCCGAAAAGGTCGCCTCCTTCTTCTCCCGCCTGAGCCCCGTGCCGGCCTTCCCCGACTACACCGGCCCCTACAAGGTCGGCACCGTCGACATCGAGGTGCCCGTCGCCGAGCTCGAATCGCCCAGTCCGACACCCTACAGCGCCTCCGAGATCCTCACCGTCCAGTGCCGCGTCTTTTACCCTGCCACGCCCGAGTCCAACGGCAAGAGGATCAACTGGCTGCCCTCGCCCCAGAGGCAGCATGTCTCGGCCTACACCCAGTTCATTGGCATCCGTCCAATGCTGGCCGAGATCGTCTCGTACGTCCATCCCGCTGCATACAACCGAGCCCATACCATGCCGGCATTGACCTTTCGCCGTGCTAACTCCTCCTTCCCAGCTTCCTCCCGCGGCACCTGCACTACACCACCATCCCTGTCCACAAGAACGCCGAGATCCTCGACCCTGACACCCCGAACCGACGATGGCCGACCATGATCTTCTCCCACGGCCTCGGCGGCAACCGAAACACATATTCCCACCTGGCCGGCTCCCTCGCCTCCCACGGCGTCGTCGTCATCTGCCCCGAGCACCGTGACGGCAGCGCCGTGGCGTCCTTTGTGCGCATCCCCGGCAAGCAGGACCAATACTTCATGCGCGACACCCGCCGCACGATTCCCTACATCCGCCTCGACCACGAGCCGCGCCCCGAGATCTACGAAGCCCGTGAGGACCAGTTGCGCATTCGCCTGTGGGAGCTGGGGCTGATCCACGTCGTCGCCCTGAACATGGACCTGGGCCTGGCCATGTCGAACCTGAACAAGTCCACCCCCAGCCTGACCCAGTTCAAGAACAAGCTTCACGTCCACGAGCCCGGCTCCATCATCTTTGGCGGCCACAGCTTCGGCTCCGCCTCCATTGTGCAGTTCCTCAAGTCCACCTACTACGCCGAGTCCTCCGCCCTCGCCCACGTGGCCAAGCCCCTCTTCACCCCGCGCAGGGACTCGGCCCTGTGCCAGCAGATCACCGAGAAGAACGTCACCATGCTCCTCGACATGTGGTGCTTCCCGCTGCTCGCCCCGGGCTCCTCGGAGCTCTTCGATCTGCCCCTCCCCGCCTACGCCAACAGCCCCTCGGCGCCGGGCGGCAGCGCTCTCCTGGCCGTCGAGTCCGACGCCTTCTTCAAGTGGACCGACCACCTCCACGTCACCGCCCGCGTGCTCTCGCCGCAGCCATCGGTCAACGTCATCACGCCGCAGCTCTTCAGCCGCAGCGGCGTGCGTCTCGCCGAGCCCAATTTCTTCTACGTCCCCACCTCGGCGCACCTGAGCCAGTCCGACTTCGGCATCCTCTTCCCCTGGCTGACCAAGAAGATCTTCAACTCGGAGGAGCCCGAGCGCGCGCTGCGGCTCAACCTGCGGGCGCAGCTGCAGATCCTGCGGACCAACGGCGTGCCCGTCGCGAGGACGTGGATCGGCGACCTCGTCGACGGCACGGGGTCCGGTAAGATGGGCATCGCGGGCGACGAGGACGCCGACAACGGGCCCGACGATGGGCTGATGGACGACAAAGCTATCTTCGACCGCTCCGAGGGCAAGGTGCGCTTCTGGAAGTGGATCGACGTCATCGGCATGGGCGAGCCCAGGGAGACGCCCAGCGCCGGCGGGTCGGCCAACGTCAACGCGCAGGTGGCCGGCGTCGAGCGGACGGACCAAGATATGGAGGAAGAGCTGGAGCCGCTGCAGGCGGTCGCAAGCGCGGCGCAGGCCGGGGCGATACGGTCATGACCAGAGAGGGGCCGCGAAAGCGTAGCGTAGCCTAGGCGTGCGTTCTATAATAAGGGCAACCTAGTAGCGTTGACCAACTGTATCATGATTTCGGCCGGAGTTTTCCTTTTGTTGGAGGAACCGTTAATAGCATTGTCCCGTCTCGTTTTTGGATAGCTACGTAGCAGATACCTTAGTCGATATAGCGTATAAACCATTCTCCGAGATGAATCACTACAGGCTCATGCACGTGTTCGTGAAACAGGTCAGATCGACCTGAAGAGCCTGGATGGAGGGGCCAAAACGGGGTGTGAATCGACCTAGATCGACCATCCATCCATCCGGGCTAGCTCGAGTCTCACATGTCTACACATGGAATTTCTCCGCATCGGTATGAGGATCCGTCTTTTCGACGGCCCGCATACTACCGGGACCATCCGTACCAGAGGAGGGGGGGAGGGAATCGCGCTGTGGCCCTCGGCTGCGCCCAAGTCATACACGTCATTGAGATTGAACGGCGTCAAAGGGCGCAACAACGCGCGCGCGCGCGCGTCATATGAGATCACTGTGGGAGCTTGCGGAAGACGTATATCATGGACGTTCCCCGCCGTTCGGCGAAGGATACTCCTTCGTTACCGATAAACCATAATTGACGAAACTCATATCACAATGGCTCCTGTAAGTCCCTTCCTTCCAAGCGGGAACCTCCCATCATGTCCGTCGACAACGGCGACTGACCCGCACCTCTACCCCGGCAGAAGCAACCCGAACGCCTCAAGCACGTCGCCGAGAAGGCGACGTCCAACAACCCCTCGCAGCTCGGCGACCCGGTCTCCCTCAAGGCCGAGGTGTCGCAGCTGTCGCCGACGGAGGACGACCTGGGCGCCAACTCGAAGCGGCCGCCGTCGTTGTCACAGAAGCCGTCGTCGTCCGGCAAAGGAGGCGCCGCGGGGGCCAAGAACTCGGACGGGTCGCCGGTGCAGGGACCGGAGAAGAAGCGGCTGAAGCAGGTGGCCGAGGAGAACCTCGAGGCCGGCAACCCGACGCAGCTCGGGGACCCGGTGAGTCTGAAGGCGGAGACGAGCGAGACGGAGCCTCGGGGGGAGGCGGACGGGCAGAGGAGGGCGTCGAAGCTCTGAGGGCGTGCGCTGTCTGATGGTTAGGGTTTCATCCATGCCTAATAACATGTTCTTTTCCTCCCTCTCTTCGGGTGGTTGTATAGAAGTGACCGGTTTCATGCCATGTTGATTACTTGCGCAAAGGAAGCTACATTTACTATTCCCTAGCACGAACTCCGCCAGCTGACCGAAGCATGCTGCTTGTTCCACGAGTAGCTAAGGGGTCCTGGGTGTCCCCGTACGCAGCCTTACAACTCTTTCTTATCCTCAATCTCCGGAGTATGCTCGGCTGAGCGCCGACAAGGGAATGTCGAATACCAGTACGGTAATGCCATGGCCGGGGCAAATTTCGCTGGTGACTAGCTCCGTTGGCAACGGTTGATCCCGCCTTTGATCTCGAACTTTGCCCAATCTCAGCCGCCATCGAGGCTTTTACACCCTTGAGCCCCCAATGTCGCCATGGCGTTGGGTATCGTTGGGATCTGGGGCTGCCCACCAAGCGTCCAAGACCTTGTGCTCACAGTGTGCTCCAGGGAGCACCCCGTACTACGATGGACGTCTCCTCTTCTCTATAACGCCATCGTGCATTCCCATGGAACGGCTGATGGCTAGGAATTCACAGGGAAACCCTGGCGACGACAATGTGAGACATCAACAGCAGCCAGCTGAGCATCCCCCCCCCCCCCCCCCCCCCCTCTGCCCACCGAGTGCAAGTCCACGATGCAACCGTCATCTCGCAAACACCAGCAAACTCAGAAAAGATGCGATCGCGCACTACTGTAGCGTTGTTGGTGTCCCTAGGAGTGTCTTTGGCGCTGGGTAGGCTCCAGTGCGTCAACGACGAAGTTATCGCCGCCGAGGCCCCCGCCGTTACCCTCCCGGCCTTCGTCAAGCGCCGGGACCCCAAGCCGGTCGACGTGTACTTCCACATTGCCAGCACAGTGGACCACGAGAGCCGCATAACCGAAGACATCGTCGCTGCCCAGGTACGCGTCTCCAACGGTTCTTTCCAAGGGTTTACGGGGCGAAGCTCGACCGCTGACATGGACTCCAGTTCGAGGTCCTGCGCTCGGCCTTCTCCCACCACGGCTTCGCACTCTCGCTCGCCGACGACGTCTCGCGCGTCGTAGACGACGTGCTGGGCGGGGGCTTCTACGACGAGGACCTCGGCATCGCCGATCACGACGGCTACATCGCCTGGCGCGCCTCACGGAATTCGCGACCCCCTAAAACCGGGTGTTTGCTGAGAGTGGATTCAGGATGGAAAGTGGGGATCGTAGCTATATGCACTAAGGAGTTGCCATCACTTCGCAGAAGTGGACGATCAGATACAACCAGCATTCTCCATAGCATAATCCCCACGCCTGGCTGAGTAAAATCGCCCCGAGTCTTGCAACTGGGATCTTCTTAACCGGGATATATGTCTTGGCAACTCAGGTCTAGAGCTGATCATTTAGGGATGCAGGAACAGAAAAGCTACTCGGACGTAATTGAAATACAATAATAGCAGGTTACAGTTGTGCCTCGGGTGGGGTCGCGGACCTCGTTCGCACTGAAAGGTACCGAGACCTCGACTTATATACATTAATGGGGTTATCACGTGAATATATTTTATTTTTGCCATCTTACTCTTAATTAGTTCGGGCCCAAACGAATATTCTCAGCACAATATAGGGATAAAAGGAGCAGACCCGTGGATTTTGTCAGCAGGAGAGGGTTATACCGATCAGATCGTTTCATTGTCGCTCAGCTTTACTAGAGACATGGTCGACGACACGCCCGCGCAGGCCGGGGCACCGAGGGGTGTCCGCCGAGGGGCGGGACTCGTGCCCGGACTCGCCTGGGCTGGATCCCATCCACAACTTTATGGACTATTCTGACGATTCTTGGTGAGATTTCTGTTTACAGGCGGTCCCGCGCGTAAGAGCGTCGAGGTCTTGCTGGCTGACCGAGCGTTGTAGCACGAGCGAGTTCACTCCCGGGCAGGAGGAGCGTATGCACCGGGTGTTCGATTTCTACAGGAGACCGCCAGGCTAAACGGGGGCAGAAAGGGGGGGGAAGGTGGGCTGAGATGGTTGTTTTCGCAAGGCTGTTCGACTATAGTCGTGGGCTCCTCGGTCTCGTGATAAGAAGAACATACGCCAATATCGCCCATTATCGTTATCCCTAGCCTCAAATCAGATATTAACCACGTTTTTGTCCTCTTTGTAACCCCAGCCTAGCCAATCGAGTCAGTATACCGTACTTCAAAAAGGGGGGAAGAGGCTATGCTAAATTCAAAGCCGGCAAAACCGCCTCCCTCGACATCTCGTCGACGTGGTCCCGTAGGTCCTGCCAGTAGTCCTCTGGGTGACTGGGGTGTGTGATCTTGAATCGTCCCCTGCTCTGCCGCGCTCTCTCGGTGAGCTCGAAGGTGCTGACGGCTTGGTGATCTGGGGAGCTGGAAAGGTGTATGAGGACGTGTCGTCCGGGAGAGCTTTTCCCTCGGCCGGCTTTAGGGGGATCCATTGGTGGCAGCGTGCGCTTCTCGTCGATGTTGCCCGTGGCCTTCTCGGCGGCCTGCTTTATCGGCGTTCTTCTAGATGAAGTCCCTTGTCTTGTCTGTGACAAAATCGAGAAGGTATTCTGTGCGAATTATCGGTATTTCTTGCAACGCCGCTAGTCCCAGATACCTGACTTATGCTGTAGCTTCTCGTGCGCGAGCCCGTCGTGGATGCTGCCAAACTCCTCTGTCGTCTCCCGGTGAACCTGGCCCGTGTGCGCCATGATCGGCGAACTCACCCCCGCTGTGTCTGATGGAGGACGGCAGAAATCTTCTGTCCCAGACGTGCTAATGCGAGTCGTTCCCTTTATCGCTGATCCAGATTCGCTTCAGCCACTTGACGTTCCGCCCTTCGGCGTAACCCGGGATGATGACCCTCACAGGCTAAGCGTGATCAGGGGGCCATGGGGTGTTCGAATCGGACGCTGGTCCCATGCATTCCCTCGCTCAGATCGTCTGCCCCTTCAAATTTGACCCAGTAGCATTGTCCTTCTCTCAGCCGCTTGGGGATACCCACCTCAAAGAGAATGCCCCGAATAAGAGGGCCCTTCCTGTGGGCTCAACACCCCGCCCTCAAGCCCAAGTTGAGGCTATTAAACTGGCGGATGATGTTGAGGTCTATCCGCTGCATACCGTTACAGGCCAGGAAGACGGGGATGTCGATGGCCTCGTTATCGTTCTTAAGCTGGCCGATCAAGAGGACCAGCATACGCAGGAGCCAGTTGTCGGGCGTGAAAAGGTCGGCCTCATCGATGGAGGCCTGTTGCTTGTGGCCCTTCTGGAGGGACTGCCGCTTTCTGTCGTTGGCCCCTAGGTTTTTGAATCAATCGCTCTCGTTCTCAAAAACTTGCAGGAGCGTAAGCTCTTAATGTGAGTACTCGTCCTCAGGCTTCCCCTTTCAAATTGCTGCCCTCGACTGGCGTATTTGGGGGTCATTGCGGGGTGAGCGTTTTGCCTTGATCGTTCTGATTACTTTTCTTCTTTTGTTCCTCTTCTTTCTTCTCGGCCTCTTCTTTTTTTCTCCTCGTCCAGGTTGGCAGGCTGATTTAGACATACTTAACCCAGTCCTCCTTCACGTTGAGCACATATCGCCGGCCGACTGATCTGTTTTCCAGGTGCCGCAGACTCAGGTATTGCTGCGCGTCGATAATGTCCTCAATGCTGACGAAAAAATGGCTCGTTGCACCCATTCTGTCAGGCGATATTTCTATTGCGGTGTTTGGGTCTGTTGAAGACTGGTTGTCTCGCACACAACACAAAGCAGAGACCTCGAGGGAAGCAATGGGTATCAGACGTGGGCCGGACCTGAATCGTACTGGCCACGGACTATCTGGTTTCAATGTGGCCGGAAGTCGTGACCTCTGCAAAACTGACACGACATATGACGTCGATCAGCTCCGTGTTTGCGTTGCCTTGCGCCCGAATGATACCTTCATGACGCCGTGAACAGACATTACAGTCGTAATGGGCGGCGTCGTGCATGGTTCGAAGTCGTCCCCATAGCTATGGGACTTAGATGATGAAAAGACGTTATCTAGTTTCATTCCGCTCTACCATGTCATTCGACTCCTAAAAAACTCTTGAAGTGATTCTTCTCCCACTGAACCCACAAACTGGATCCCGCCATCGCCCGTCGTGGCGTTCTTGACATTGAACAGATCCCCCAAGGTAGACACGAACAACTGCCGCCCATCGTGACCCGTAGTCATGCCTTCCAGAACATGAACACGCTTCATAGCATGCTCGGATGCGTCATTGCAGATGGTTAGACACGTTTTAGTACTGTCGGCTTCTTCTTGCAACCTTCTAATCTCAGCCTCCAATTGCCCAGATGAGCTCGTCGTGTCCGATCCCGATTGTTGCCTGCTAACCTCTTCTCTTTGCCGACGCAACTGAGAAACATTGTCTGTGATCATGTCTCTGCATTGGCTAAGCGTTGACATGGTCATGATCATTGCCCGCGTCAGGTTTTGGCAAGATATTTCATTCGAGGATGGGCTGGGTGAAATGGGCCGGAATTGCATCTCGTCGATACGAGCTTGGACTTGGGCGCAAATCTCAAGGCAAATCCCAGTGCTGTCCTTCTCGTTTTGAATACGATCGATGTTGCTTGAAAGAGTTTGAAAATTCTCCTTTTGGTGTAATATGAGGTGTTCCAGCTTCGCGTTTACGTCTTCGAGGTGGTCTTCAAGCTCTCCGGCTGTCTTATGAATCATATCCTTATACTCGTTGAGTATTTGGAGAGTAACAGTGGCGGATTCCCTTGGTGTAACTGTCAGTACATCAACTAATCGTCAAATAGTTTAAAACAAAGCACATACAGATTTGCACTGCCCAGAGCAATGGAAATGGTGGATTTATACCCAGCCAGCATGGTAACAAAACCGCTGATGTCGCTCTCCATGTATCGTACTTTGAACCAGTCTCTAAAGCTAGTCCTGGGTCGACCAGAATGCTTGCTACACTCGATGATCAACTCGTTGAATTCGTTACAAGCTTGTCGGCATTGCAACAGAGGGACTTTTAGTGATTTCAAAGAACCTCTGTCCTCTCCTTTTCGGACAAGCGTATTAAGGCTTAGCAGCACTTCGTTGAGGGCCGCAAGCTCTTCCATGAGCTCCCGGATGACTTTCCGATGGTTTTTGAAACTCTGGATGGTGTCATATAGAATTTTGCCGGACTGCATAGTGGCTGTGACAATGGCTATGAGACCCGACGCTATGCTCAATGGATCACTCATGGTTGGCAAGTCTGACAGTAGCCTCCAAACACGATTTGCGTAGTTACATGTATCAGGCTCGGAAATCTTCCACGACAGATATATTTCCTGCCCAACCCCACTCGAGGTGTCCTGCAAGCGCCCACTCCACCTGAGGCTTGTACGAGATGCGCTCCACTGTTAAAATCTCTAGGCTTACTCCGAAGCGCGCGGGTAGCAACGGATGAGCTTCCGGCCACCCCTCAGATGATCGGGGAGGGGTAATGGGCTTTCTACATGCCGGTACTACCTACCTAGGCATAAGGTGCCGCTGACCCGGACATAGAGATTGAACCGACGCATCCTGACTGAAGTTTCTTCTATAATGATATATCCATAAACCTACTAAATGTTATGATGATAAGAATACCTGCAAGTATGCGTAGATCTCTCTCATTTGTACTGACGGCGAAAGATGCATTAGTCCATCCAAACAAAGGCCACTATTTAACGACAAATAAACACCAAAAGATACAGCGACTTAGTTACTTGTCACCTGCTATCTCTCTTGCTGATTCTCAACCAAAAATCGTGTGTTATCCAGAACCCGGCGCTCCAGAGCCTCAGAGGCTTCTCGGGTTTTGCAATAGCAAAGTCATACCTGCGGAGGAGCTATGCGGAAGTGTTAGGGGGCTTCCCATACGATATGACGAGTTCGCCTTACCTCGACGAAAATCTTGTTCAGTTCCATCAGTGCAATGCTCCTCCCCATGCAGTAAAACTTTCCATAACCAAACACAAGATCCGTCGTCGCCGTCATCGCTCTGTACCTCTCTTCGTCGGTTTCCATGGCCGCTTCGATCCACCTCTCGGGTCTGAACAGGTGTGCGTCGGGCCCAAAGACATCCTCGGATCTGCCGATGCTACAGATGTTTTCTCCCAGCTGTGTTCCGGCCGGCAACCGGTACCCGTGAATAACGTCCCCACCAACAGGGACTTCTTTGCTCACGATACCGGTGGATGGCGGGTAGAGACGCAGGCCCTCGCGGATCACGGCTTGTAAATAAGGCATGTATCGTGATTCCGAGTCTTTGATCGGCGAGCTGATGATCTTCTTGGCGACGGCGGAGTCGATCTCTGTGCGAAGCGCGACGAAGGCGGGCGGGTTAGAGAGGAGGCAGAGAAGGATCATGCGGATGGCAGTTGCGGTGGTGTCGGATCCGGCAATCCTACATTACATAAGACTTCCTCTAAAGCGCAATGAGATGGTAATGGTTACTCACGTCTCCACGTAAACTTCCTGCGTCAGCTCCTTGCGCGTCAGGCCAGCGTTGATAAAAGACTGAATCATATCTCGCCCGGGCTTCGTCCCCGGGGCCAGTCTTCCGTCCACAAAGGTTTTGGCAAAGCTACACGGCAGTATCAGCATACAGACTGTGTTTCCGAACCGGCCAACCAAGCTTACCCCATGAGAGCCCCGAACCCGGCCGAATCACCAGACTTCGGCAAGCCCAGATTCAGAGGCCAGCTATGCATCAGGGCTGCCAGCCAAGGAACGTTTCCCATTGTGATCATCACTGGGAAGAAGGCGTCCTTTGTGCTGACGTACTGATACAAGTCCCGATCTTCCTTGAGGAAACCGTACGGGGTGCCGAACCCAAGTTCGCTGATTACGTCCAAGGCAAAGTAAGTCGACTTACTTGCCATGTCCATGGGCCTGAACTCCTTGGCGGTGGAGATGTATTTTCGGTCAATCAGATCCACGAAGACGGCGATGGTCTTGTCGATACCAGCTTCGAAGCCGCCATTCTCAAGCCCGGCGTACTGCGGATCGTTGAGAATGAGCGAAACTGCCAGGGTTCAGAAACACTGTAAAGACTTACACCGGGCCCCATTTTACTCTTCAAATATTTGCGCTTCACTTCATCGCGCATCGAAAATAGGTGGTCTTCACCTGGTGTCGTCCTCCCGACTGCGTACCACTCGCCCTTTGTGTATTGGCTTCGAGCGCCTGCAATCTTCCTCAGAGTGTCGCCGTCGCTGAACATGACGGTATTCGGCCCGATGCGAACCAAAGGGCCTTCCCACGGATCAGTTCCGTATCATCGATAAGGGTATTAATGAAACGCCAATATCTCATACCGTATTGCTCGTGTAGCTCCATGTAGTACTCGTGGACGGAACCGTTCAACGCGGCACGAGCCATCGAGAAGCCCGTGATCCCATGCCAAAAAGGACCCGGCACGTGGGAAAGACGATACCACGAGTACAGCTCCCGGACCAGGAGCCCGACGACTATCGCGACGGCGAAGATGAACAGAGCGGCCATTTCGACGCTCAGAGAGATCGAAGATTCCTGAATGACGAGGCAGGATGCGACAGATGAAAGAGCGAAGATGGACTGATTAGGAAGAAATGAAGGGGGTTGAAGTCTTGGCTGTCGGAGCTAGTGCCGTGTGCCGGCCATACTGAGGTCGATTCCGCTTTCGGCGCAACCTAAGAAGAATTCACACCATATAGTGTCACATTCGCCCACGAACTGCTCAAGTGACAGCCATTTCTAGTTATCTGGCTGACTAAATTGAGACTTGCGAAGATACCACGAGACCTGCCCGCCGGGCCAAGCTAGATCTGGCATAGTCCACCAGGGTACAGTTTGGTCCAATCAACTATGATTAGGCGACCATGTTCGTTCCAAGGTTGCTTGCGCGGCTGCTTACTTGGCTTCGGCTTCAATACCGGACCGATAGTCCATCCACCCTGTCCTCATAAATTCCGGCAGAAACTGCGCTCGTCTGGTAAGCCGGCAGAGATCCCGAGCCAATCTTCCAGTTTCTGCGCGCTGTGGATATTTCTTGCGGTCATGGCTGTGATCAAAGTGGAAGTCGTCTTCGACTTCGTCTGTGCTGTGAGAGAAACCACCACAGAGACGCTATTATCCACTCCCGTACTGACCACGACTGGCTCCAGTGGTGCTACATTGGCAAGCGAAAGCTAGACAGAGCCATCGCTCTCTACCAGAAGACATACCCAGGGGGCAAGAACGACGTATTTGCCATCACCTGGCGACCGTACTACCTGGACTACAATCCTTCAACCCACAGCGTTGACAAGAGCCTGCTGGCTGAAACCAAGTTGGCTGATATGAGCCCGGAGCGACGCGCTGCCCTGACGCAGCGCATGGAGCAGACTGGCCGTTTCGTCGGTATTGACTTCAAATGGGGCGGCAAGATCGGGCCCGACACCCGTGACGCTCATCGACTTGTACGTGTTGGCAGTGCCAAAGGCCCCGAAGTTGCGGACGCTTTGGTTGAGAAGCTCTTTGAGGCGTACCATGAACTAGAGAGAGACATTTCTGAGAGAGAGGTGCTCCGCGGCATTGCAGTGGACGCTGGCCTCGATCCCGTCGAAGTAGAGACATTGTTTGAGTCGGGTGCAGGTGGGAGAGAGGTGGACAGCGAGGAGAAGAGAGGCCGAGAGCTTTCCGGGGGGGCCGGAGTTCCGATGTATGTCATACAAAGTGTTCATCGAGTTGAAGGAGCGCAGGATGCTTCCGACTTCTATGAAGCGTTTGTTCAGGTGAAGGAGGCCGAATCGTCGGCCCTGGAGGCTTCATAGAAGAATGATATTGATATGCCGGATTTCACTCGCACCAGGTCTTTGGGCATGATGCTAGTTGAACATGTCCCCTTTTGGCAACGACGTAGGTTGGCAAATTAGCTGTCCTATCGGCAGCTCTTTTGAAGGGGCTTCTATTGAAATAGGTGGTTATTTGGAGAGCAAAAACACGCTGAATCACAAGCTGCCCCTTATTGGTGAGTGTTGTTGGCTCCTTGCTGTGAATGAGACATGGCCTTATTATGTTAACTGGATACTGTGCTTAAACATGTAAGCTCGTCAACCTATCTGGACGTAAACCATCATCGTCGTTCTTTTCTATGTTTGTCTAGTACTATTCAATCATGAAAATTACTTCTAAAAATAAGATCGTTCCAAGTGTGCCTGAAGCCTTCGGCGCTCTAGTTAATCTTAACCCTTACCCCTCTTGTGCTCACCGGCACTGGCACCGCCAAGTCATGATCGTACTCGATTTCTCGCTTGGTCGTGTCATACAACTGCATACGCGGTAACTCCCCCACCCTATATCCGAACCACCCCCGCATCCGAACCACCCGAAATTCCCGCATTTCCCCTCCTTTATTAACACCACTACCTTTTTCAAACTATCACAACAATTGCCATTTATCGCCAAATAACGCCATTTTTTCAGGATACCTTCTTTAAACTATTATAAAGCAATATTCCAAAGATGAGCTCTAACGGGCCCTCCTAGATATGTAGTCTGGGCAGTATAGCCTCTGGGCTGTTGCTTGCAGATGGGGTATACTATATGCAACACTTCGGCATTAATACTTCGGCAGGCAAAGCAGGAATGCTGCCTTTAAAGATAGGCAGCACTTATCCCAGGCCCAGGAGGATAATCTGGCTGCCTATATCACCCTTTAACAGTCCCTTAGCAGATACGTCAACCATTAACAAGTAAAAGGCCTAGCAGAGCGTATAATAGGCAATAGGCATCCTCCTATAGGGAGGAAATAAATAGCCCGATTTATGTAGCAAAATCTATCTATTAGAACCCTCTAATCTAGAGTAATTAATGCCTAGCAATAGGCAGCCTATTCCCCTAAGGTTATCTAGGATTTCTTCTATTACCTTAGCAGTATCCCTACTATCTAAGGGATTTATCTATCTAATAAATAGAATATAGATAAGACTAGTATTATAGAGGGCAAAGGGGGCAATAGGCTAGTGCTAGGCTCTAAGGTATTACAATATATCTAGAAAAAGCAGCTAGGATTCTAGGTATAGGTATCTATTATTAAGTGTATGTCTGCTACTAGTAGCTCCTTACCCCCCTTAGTTATATATAAGGGTAAATTACTTTAGGCCTAGTAGTTCCTATTTAACCTTAATATATATAAGCTATAGTAATTTATAGTAACTAATAATAGCTAGATAACTAATAATACTACCCTTAAATAGCTAGAGAAGGTCTTTATCTTGCTGATCCGCACTGTTTTGTATAGGAGGCTAGACTACTAGTTCTTAATAGGTATTATAGCTATAGTGCGAGTAGATGCGCTGCTCATCGCACAGCGCTTTTCTATTTGCCTAAAACCTGTAGAAACGGCCCAGAAGAAACCTCCATTTAACTGTTACTAGTAAAAAGGCATTCTTAGAGTGTTATTTTAAGGCCTATAAGGTATCTATTATATCTATTAATATTAGCAGTAGCTAGAGGTTATCTAAATTATAGCCTATATATATAAGACGCCCCTTATCTAACTTAATAGTAACTAGGGCCTATTAGATTATCTAGGCTAGCTAGTAGTTAAGTTAGCTTAGTAGCTAGCAGTAGGATAAAGCTAAATCTATTATCCTATAGTTAACCCCTTATTAATCTGCTGATCTATAGTATTAACTATACTAGTTAACCTAGCTAGCTAAGGATAGGCTAGATACCTATACTATTTGTTACCTATCTAGAAAGATATAAAAGGGCTATAATAAGTAGGTATTTAGAGCAGCCCTTCTAGAAAGGCAGGTTAACTTATTATAGGCCTAGTTAGATAATATACGGTCACGTAAGAGGAAAAAGGTCTGCCTATTGCCTAATAGCACCTTTGCTACTATAGAGGATATAATCTGGGCCTAAAGTCCGGATCCCGGCAATATAGATAGTCCGGATGAATCTAGGGCATCCGAATTGCCTAGCGAGGCCGAAAGTTGCATATAGGTGGGCGGCAGAGATAGTAAAATAAGTGGTAATAGTGGTGGCGATGGTGGTGATGATGGTGGTTCGGATGTGGGGGTGGTTCGGATATAGGGTGGGGGAGTTACTACCCTGAGAACCAAGGCCGCCAGGGCCAGGTATAACTCGGCATGGGCCAGACTACCAAGCATTAGTGTGTTTGAACGGTCCCCCAGAAGAACAAAGACACTTACGACATTCCAAGGCACATCCGAGTACCCTTGCCAAAGGAAAAGAATGCCTTGTCCATCTGTCTCCTTTGGTGACGGTCCTGGACCATCCACCTCTCGGGGATAAACTCGTTCGCATCCGGAAAGTGTGTCTCGTTGAAGTGGTTTACCATCGCGCTCATACCCATCGCATAACTGCGGGGGATTAAGTAGTCCACTTCCACCTCGGTCCTAGTCCCCTTTGGCGTCCACTTGCCGCGGTAGACCAGATCCTCTCTAGTGGCGATCCTGGCTGTCCTAGACGCAACGCCCGGCGCCAGGCGCAGCCCTTTGGAAATGACGGCGGTGAAATACGGAAGCGCTTCCAGCGTCGGCCAGCTGGGCAGATACTCTGGGTCCGTGACCACGGTGCGAAGCTCCTGGGTCAGCTTCTCCAGGACGTGGGGTTTGGTCAGGAGGTAGAAGGTGATTACGGTGAGTGTGAAGCTGGTTGTCTCAGTGCTGGCTATTATAGTGAGAAGACCCTCGGCAGTCAGACGCTTGGTAGTCTTCTCCTCGGGAGGAAGGTCTGACTCGAAAAGCTCGCCAAAGACGTTGGTGGTTTTGCCATCGCCAGCACCCAAACGCTTTCGTTCCCTAGCCTGTTCTACATGCCTTGGTATGACGGTCTAAGCTTACTTTGTTAGCTTAAGGGCCCTTATGTTCTTTTGTCTTGATCTAAGGCATATCTAGCCATAGATCAGGCACTGGTTCTTACGTCAACTGTGTCAATAAGTAATGCCATGTCCCTAGGGAGGTAATCTTTAAACCTATTAGATCTATTGTCAGCAATAAACCATTATCTAGCACAAAGTGGTTGACTTACATAGGTCCTACAAGTAGAAATGCTTTTAGCCACGGGAAGAACCTAAATATAAATATGTGGTTTAACTGTCCGTACACCGCCTCGCGGAAGTTGGGTGTCCAAGTCTCCCTATCAAGAAACCCAAACGCTTCACCAAAGCAGTATTCCGATACAACGTCGGAAGTGAAGCAGCTATACGCGTCTGTCAGGGGGACTACCCTGTCGGGGTTGCTAGCCTCGGCAAGAAGCTTGTCGCAGAGTCGCTGGGCTAAGACCTGGATCTTGGGCTCCAGCTTGAATATCTGAGCCCGCGAAAAGAACTTGCTTATGGCGCCGCGGCGCCTGCGGTGGAGATCATGGTCGATGGTGCTGGCGTGGGCTACATTTTGGCTATGGGAGCGATTAGTCTATGCTTTTCATCCATGCATAGAAAGGGTCTAGGATGGGGAGATGTACGCCTCTGGCAAGTTCTTTTGCTGATGCGGGTGCTTGTTCCGTTTCCGCCCGTTGATGGAGTAGATCTCATCAGTGAAGTTGACGTCGTTGCAGTGTATCTCATCAGGGTTGATCCGAACGATTGGTCCTTGGCCAGAATCAGCACTACACCACATTTCTGTTTAGTATAGAAGAATCACAAACCGTAGACCTCATGCAGCCGTCGAATCTCAAGAGTGTAGCGGCCCTTCTTGACAAAGTCGAACCAAAACTCGTACAGATAAGATGCGCCGGCCAGCTTCGGGCCGGGAATCTTGCTGAGGGGATGGAGCGGGGATACATTGTAGAGTGCACGCACAAAGTAGTATAAAAGCCAGGCGGCCAAGACGGCACCGACAGTTCGCCAGGACAAAAGGCTCACGGGAGCAACGACTTCGGTCAACGAAACCATACTGAGGAAAGGTAAAAGAGTTCAGGAGGTAAGCAGGACGCGAATTTTGGCAGTAGGGGGCTTCTCACATAATATCTCTCAAATGTTGATTCAGAACCCCGCTCCAAGACATTCGCCCTGATTCAATCCGACCTTGATTTGGGCGAGACTCGATACCTACGGCCCGCGACGGGAGGCAGGGATATCCCCTTTCGGGCTCCAGACCCGTGGGGATCCATTGGAGGGGACACGGATTCGGTGAACATGGCCGTCAATGACGTGGCCTGCATTGGACAATGGAATGATACTTTGGGGGAGTAGTCTGAAAAGGTAGACATGCCCGCCGGGGAACGATCAGCGGCATGTGCACGTGGCTTAATCGGGCAGACGCTTATTGTCAGCTCGGATAGTGTGTCTCGGATATTGCCCATTGTCAGCAAACAGGGAATAACAGTGAGGTGAGATAAGAGGGGTGGAATCGGTAACATGTCAGACTGACCCAGCGTAGCCTCGTCGCACTTGACTGGAATAGTAGAGTGAACAAGGCGAAACAAAGTGCAAAGGTACTGTTGTAACACAATACTCGCGAGGCTATATATCTGGGGCTGACTGTGCGCAAACCAAGCTTTTTTAATATTCCAAAGCCACCGCCCTTATCATTCGATGAGGAGAGGAGGTGGACTGTTCTAGCTTCCATGACTCCCCATTGAAAAGAAATGTAGAGATTAATATTGTCACAGAGTGATGTACGCTATGTACAGCGTTGGGTGCTGCCCGATTAATAGCGTCGTCTGCAATCAATAGTATAAGTGTAGTCCGTATAATTTATCCACAGTGATGGGGTTAGTGGATCAACACACAGCTGTTGTTGTGAGGGGGCCCGTGTGCTGGGAGGTCACGTGACCCCCTAGGCCCCTCACCTTCATCTCCAGCCTCTGCTATAGCCTTGTGAGGAGGATTTCCTCCTTACCACTACTACATACCTTAGATCACTAATACACACAGTATTGCCTTACTTTGTTACTCTTATGCTCCTATAGGTTATAAGCCTAGGCCTATATTAATTTTCTTTTTGAAATTAATTAGTTACCTCTACCTATCTTTATCAATTTATAATTATCTACTAATTACTATAGTAGTTACTTAACTTTAACTTTAATCTACTGTTTTTACTATAGCCTAATAAGGATCCTTTACTAATTACAGTAGGGGTACTTTTACCTATTACCTACCCTAATCTATTACTTTAGGTATCTATTAAATAGTAGTAAATTATATAATAATTTAGATATACTTTTTATTATAGTAAAAGAAATATATAAAGATTATAATATAGTTAGGCTAACTATAGTCTAAAGTAACTTACCTATATTACTATTACTATAGCTAATAGTAGTAATTACTAAATAGTCTTATTAACTATCTCTAAGCTTAAAGGGGAGTTAAACTAGTCCTTATAAATTATTCTTATTAGTACTAGAACAGAGCAGGAGTTTAGGTTTTCTTTTAAGCAGTATTTACGTATGTTTTTTCTAGCTAGTAGAGCCTTAGTTATCCTAATTAGGACGTTAAATACTAATTAAGACTAAGAAGATAAATAGATTATAGAATTAACTATAAATAAGTTACCCCCTATATTTAATAATAACTTAATTATTATTATAATTAAGACTAATTTAAATATTTAATCTAATTTCCTAGGCCTAATTAGGCCTTATTAGCCTAATTAACCTATCTTTTCTTTATAAATATATAATTATACGCCTTAATCCTTTATATATAAGTCCTATACTACTTAATAATAATAGTATTACTAACTAAGATTAACTACTAATTAGTAACAGACTTTCTTATAATAACCTTAGGTGTTATAAGATAAGGTAGTAAGTGCTTATAGTTAGGAGAAAAATAGATAGTAGGGACTAAATACCTAATATATACATAATACGTTATATATACCCTAAGTATATATCCCTTTAGTAAGTAACCTTTTATAAAAAAGAAGTTAACTATAAATACACCTTCTATCTATTACTTATCTTATCTTATATTATTTATTTAGCTTCTTATTATTATTTATTTTACTTTACTACTATACTATTACGTTTTACTTTTATATTATATTACTATTATAGGATAGGGTAGTAAGTGCCTGTAGTTAAGAGATAAATAGATAGTAAGGACTAGATACCTAATATATATATAATACGTTATATATACCCTAGTTATATATCCCTTTAGTAGGTAACCTTTTATAAAAAAAGAGATAACTATAAATACACCTTCTATCTATTACTTATCTTGTCTTATATTATTTATTTAGCTCCTTATTATTATTTATCTTACTTTACTACTCTGCTATTACGCTTTACTTTTATACTATATTACTTTATAATACTACTATAGCCTAACTTTATCCTATTAGAACTATAATAGCTACTAAGAAGGCTATATTAATTACTTTATAATACTACTATAGCCTAGCTTTATCTTATTAGAACTATAATAGCTACTAAAAAGGCTATATTAAGTAGTAGTATAACTATCTTAATTTATACTATTTTATTATTCTTACTATTTATATTATTTTTATTAAGTTTTTCTTTTACTACTATATAGTAAAGAAATATATACACCTTAATAAAAGTAATAGGCTTAAAGATATAGTATACTAAGAACGCTTTAACCTAAATAAATCTCTAACTTTAGGTAATTCTATATATAGCTTTAAAAAAGCCTAACCTATAAGATTACTTAGTAGCTACCTTAAAGCCTTTATAATAATATATAATCCCTTATAACTATAAAGTTTAATAAGGACACGCTATACTACTTTAGTAATAACTAGTAATAAGGCTTTTAGTTAGACGTTAGCTAGGCTAATAACCCCTTTTAAATTAAAGGTATCTTTTATATAGTAAAGAAAATTATTAAAGATATAAGAATTAACTTACTACTTTTATTAAGACTATATAGTAAGGTAAAAGATATTTAACTATTTTATAGTAACTTATAAAGCTTTTAGTTATTTAAAACCTAGTTATACTAAAAATAAACCTAACTAAATAAATACTACCTACCTCTTAAAAAAAGCCTTCTTAATAACTACCCCTAAATAAAGATATTATAATAAGTAATACACCTAGATAAGAGGGGAGTATCTTTTTAGACTTATTATTTTTAAAGTAAGTAAAAGCTACTATAATAATATAGTCTAAGTTAAAAAGTAAGAAATAAGAAATTATAAGCCTACTAGGCTATAATATTATCCTACTAATAAGCCTATTTAGACTATAGTTTTTTACTATATTAAGCTAATTCTTAGATAGTATAAGTTACTACGCCTAAGGCTAATAAGAATAAGATATATACTTACCTTTAGGGTAAACGTAATATTTACTACCTTTAGCCTAAAGTTAAATAAGAAATATAATTCCCTTAAGTTAGTACCTTAGTAAGGAGGCTAGCGCTATAACTATAGCTACTTAATTAGTAAGGTTAAAGTTAATAGTAAGATAATTATAAGAATATTAAGACTTAATAAGTATAGCCTAATTATAAAATAACTCTAGCTAGTAAAAGTAGTAAAAAAGCCTATAGTTAACTATAGCTATACTACCTTTACTAGTATTAAACATAAAAAAGCTTATAGTAGCTTTTCTTTATATTATAACTACTTAAATATAAGTAGTAGTAGTACTAGTAACTACTATAGCTACCTTAGGTTATTCTCTAGCCTAGCTATAAATACTATTTACTATAAGAATTTTTTAGCTTAATACTAACACTAAGAGGTACTTACTAAACCTTATCTTTTATAACTACCTTATAATATATTACTATAACGTAAAGCTTTAGGTCTAAGTAGTTAAGGTAACTTATAGAGATCTTTTATCTTTATAGTAATTTTATTAAATAATTAACTAGTACCTTTATAAATAAGTATAAAACTAGTAGGAATTCTAACTTACTAAAGTAAAGTAAAATATCTTTAAGTAAGAAGGTTAGCTAGTAATCTTAAAGTAATTTAGGTACTATTTTAGACTAACCCTTATTAAGGTAAAAAAGTAGTTTTATAAGAACTACTTTACTACTAATAAGATTAATAAGTAGTATAATATCTATACTTTTACTTAATCCTATTTTAAATATACTAAGGTATAAGGTAACTAAACCTAATACTAATAGCTAATAAGGTTTTATAATAACCTTATGTTATAACTATAGTAATTCCTTTATAAGCCTAAAGACTATAACTCTTTAGATAAGTATATTACTTTAGCTAAAGAAAAACACTAAGCCCTTTAGGACACTATCTTACTATTATTAAGTACCTTTATGTACGCTAATAATATAAGTACTTAAAGTAGTATAGATAATAATATAGCGCTATAAAGAAGTATATTAAAATAACTAAAAAACTATAACCCTTAAAATAAGGACCCTCTAGAGACTAATTAATATAGCCTTCCTAGCAGCTGTTACAGTTCTAATAGGATAAAGCTAGGCTACAGTAGTGTCGTAAAGTGACGTAGTGTAAAGGCAAAGCATAACAGCAAAGTAGTAAAGCAAGATAAATAATAACAAGAAGCTAAACAAATAATATAGGATAAGATAGGTAACAGATAGTAGGTATATTTATAGTTAACCCTCTCTCTATAAAGGGTTACCTACTAAAAGGATATATACCTAGGGCATACGTAACGTATTATATGTGTGTTAGGTATCTAGTCCCTACTATCTATTTATCTCCTAACTATAGGCACTTACTACTTTATTCTATAACACTAATAAAGAAGATATAGCTTTATAGGGATTTAATAATAATAATAACTAGTAGTGATAAGATAACTACTAGTATAAGAAAAACTCTTAAGAAAACTATAAAAAATACTAACCTTATAGTAACTAATAGTAAAAGTATTACTAAGCTAACTTTAAGTATAAAGCATAAGACTAGTAACCTTAGTAAGGACCTTAATAAGGAAGTAAATAGTAGTAGTAAGTATAATATATATAAA